CTCTGCATGCTGTCTGCCCTGGCTTTCCTTATTTACATTTAGTTCATATCATTCTAGCACCAGTTTCCCTAGGCCCTCTTAATGATTCTCTTGCCTTTGCTCCTTTCCAGCTGGGGCTAAGATAAAATGGGTGCCCCCCTCAATAAATTAACACCCATGAAAACACATGAGTGTGCTTAGGAGAATGATGAGAAAGGAACTGGCTGATTCTTTCTTAATGAAGCCACAAAATAAGGACCAGGCCTCCTTGCTGCCCTCCACTGGAATAGAAATGCAGTGCTATGTTGAAATAAATCCCAGTCCAGGCTCACTCCTCATTTAAGCTAAAGTACCTTAAAATGTTTCTGATCCTCAAAACAGCTTTAGTTTCATTCATAAATGCTGAAGGTTTTCAGTTGCCCTGCTTAAAAAGAAATATAAGTGAAGATGTCCTTTGTACATTCCTTAGAAACAAAGGAAAAGATTGGAGTAGATATTTTGTTTTTGAAGGAGGGTAGCCAGAAGGAGGACCCATTTTTATTTTGATCACGGGATGTCCCTTGTAAGCCCTTCACCAAATGTGAATGCACTATGCCTGCATGGTACTAGATTGGAAATCTCTAATGACAAAATATCAGGAAATAGAGGAAAGCCTAGGAGAGGGATGCTCATCTCAGTGCACACTCAATTTCAAAGAATTCGATTCTGCCAAGATAAAGAGCCAATTCAATGAAAGGAACTGACTGAACATACTTAAATCATATGCCATGTTTATTAGTTGTAAACCCAAACAAGTATTCCAAAAAAAGAGTAATATATCATTTTTACTGTTTTTACATCCTTTAAAATACTGCAAAATTAACTTTATATGATGAAGTGCCCAATGTTTCTCCATTTTGAAAACAATAAGAAAAATTATGTCATTCCAGTCAGAAAATTTTTTCCTAGGATTCCTTGTTCTTCTGATTTCCTTTAAAATAGCTATAATTAAGGGCTGTTTCAAAGATTAATTCTTTCTTTTTTCACAAGCTGAGCTTGAAAAATACAAATATCCTAAAAACAATACCAAACAGAATGAGTGTATGGAACACATATTGGCCTTTTCC